TGTTAATCACTACTTCAAAAAGAATCATCTCTGATGAGGGTTGAGATGTACTAATCTATGGGTATAAAGATAAGAACTTAGGGGGCAGTTTATACTATATCCATAGCAGAATAATAGTACTAGGTTCTCCCTACTGCCTATGACCTGGCCACCTATGGGTTTTGGGCTCAATTGAAGATATCAGGCATGAGTTCCATTCTGTGAAGCAGGCTTGAAACCCAATCAGAAAGTGATTGGTTACTTCCATAACATCTGTGCCACTATTACAAGTAGGCATATCTTGTCAGTTAAACTGTCATTGTAGATCACAGTGTTCACAGTTGGATAAGACTAATGATTACTTTTCTCTTCTGGTAGTATAAATAGCACAAAGAAAAACTAGAAAGTATGGATGAGCTTCCAGGTCAGTAACGACTTTATTTTTCCATATCCTGTGATTCAAGTATGCAGTGTCTTCAGCAATAGAGTCTTACCATCACGTTCTGGAGGATAACCAAGAGCATTGGCAATAAGTAGCCTCTAATTCTGGATGGAAGTATCTATGAGATTCCACTGACTATGTTTGATTATTTTAAAACTGTGTAGGTCATTGCAGGCCAGGTTTGGCTGGGACATTAAAACCTTAAAATGTCAATTCTCTCTCAGTGAGTCTATTGGGTGTAAAGCCAGTTGGTAATTTGCAATAATAATTCTAGTGCAAATAATTGTTTTGTCAAAAATAAGAAATAGAGAATAAAAATAACCAGGCTTTTGGACGATGATAGTTTAAATTGTTTTCATGTAGAATGCAAGAAAGTTTTCAGTTGGCATTATGTGTTAAATACTGGGGTTGGAGACAAGAGCTTATCCTTTGGTTTCAGGAGGGATAGATTGTCTGATATGTCACAATAAAGGGAATCTGTGTGCTAGGTAGGACACAACTGATCTTTTCTCAAACAGAGGTTCATGATACTTAGAGCATATACATATGTGTGGAAATGAAGTACTTTTGCAGAATATGGCTTTGGCTTTGGGCCTAAAACAACTCAGTGTATTTCAGGAATGGAGTAGAACATCGAAGATCTTTTTCCTTAATCTTGTAGTGAACATATACTTTCAATATTGGGCTTATGAAACTGAACTGAAAATTAAGAAATAACAGAAAATAAATGTAAGGTGTTATTGAGTGCTACCTGTACTATTGTGATTACAAATTCAATTAAGCAAATGAATTGGAGCTTTCTCAACTCTGAGGAAGTCTTTTTCAAATTAATTATAGCACACTTGGAAAATTCTTCTTGCAAACTTCACTGCTTATCTTGACCTCTTTTCATTATGTATTTGCTCGCTCCGCAAATCTGAATTAACTTGCTATGTTCTACAGGGTAACATGCAATTATCATAAAAAATTTAAGTTCTGAAAGATGTTGAAAAGCCTTTGCTTAAGGGTGTCAGTTAATATCAAATGCATTTTAGTAAAGATGAATTCAAAATAAGGTGAATGTATAAGAAACACTTCCACAGTGAACCAGTCAGAGGAAGTGTGCAAAGAACCAATGTATTTAAATAAGGAACATAAGTAAATGTATTTCCACATTTTATCTAATAATATGAGATCCAAGTTAAGTTGATTTTCAGTTGCATTTGTAATTCTGTTATCTTTTTGCCCGGACATGATCTATCCATGACTAATACAGCTCTTAGTGAAAGGAATGATATCTTCATTACTGACAATCATTACATATGTCTGCTGGTAGGGAAACTTAGATAGGTTCTTTCCTGAGCAGATGACATGAGTTAATTAGATTACCCAATAAATTTGACATCATGGAGTCTCAAGGAGAGTACAAGTGTCTACTATGGACTGATGATTATCATACATACTAGCTGCTGTATCCTTAACAAACCCAAAGGCCATAGCCCTGCCTCATTGATTAGGAATGCAGTATCCGGTACAAAATACAACTGTATTCCTAGCAGACCTTTTTCCAGATCACTATGGAATGGAATGATGATAGAAAGCTATAAAATGGACTGTTTGCACTGAGAATATCTCTTCAATTATCTGTGCCAAGATGGCTTGGTGACTACTAAGATAAATTTCACTAAGACAGCTTTTTGGAACTTTGATTTTGAAATCTAATAGATAACCAACAAAAATAAGAGCAGTGTGGGTGAAATATTTCTCAACGTGTTGTGTTTGGGAAAACTCCAAACATGACTGTGTAGCACTTTTTCCTCCAAATCTTTAGCTCCTGAACATATTAAAGGTAATTTAATCCTGATTTGTGCATAAATCATCCAAGTGTTTTGTAACATGTATCTGGCTTCCAAATGAAACATTATTTACATTCTTATTTGCCTGTATGTATATATACACAGAACTTGAATTGGTAATTATTAAATATGAGCTATCCATGTTTGAAATTTTGCTTAATCTTGATGCATTCCAAACTCAGTAGACTACTGCTTTTGGGACATCCAAATACCTGCAGTCTTGAAAATTAAATACCTCCCAAGATCTTATTTTATGAGAGTAGAAATGCTCAGAAAGTGATTTTATCTCAAAAGAATGTCAACACAGATTCACAGTGGAAAACCTTATTAAATAAGAACTAACAATTACTATTTTTGACAAGAGCTCTTGATTGTGACTTTAGTGTCCTGAAATATTTATTGGCCCATTCATTCATCAATTTTTACATGCACACAGAAATGGTTACTAACTTCCTGTCAGGAAAGGGAACTAGTAAAACTGATGGGGCTTCTGGCTTTGAAAAAATGCTATCAGCAAAGAAACAAAAATGGAAAACTTACAGTAATAATACATTCCAATGAGATATTATTCAAAGGAAGATCAAACTGTTACTCAAAAGATTGTTTTCATTGTCTAGCTTTGTTTTCAATTTACATAAGTAAATGATTTAGTTAGATTATTTAATATCTCAGCTAACCAAGATAAATAAAATTAATCTAATGTTTGAAACAAAATTATAAATAAATGTAAAACAAATGCATCTAGAACAAAAGTGTTGACATACATAAATAGAATGTTTTGCAGTTTTCTGATATTTCAGATAATTAGAATTCATAGTAAATAATTGATAACTGTAGAAGTGTGAGGCCTTCTACATTGACATATGTATTGGTGTGTGTATAGTAGTTATATGTGTGTATGTGTAACTCTGTGTGTGTGTGTGTGTGTGTGTGTGTGTGTGTGTACAATTAAGGATAATATAGGCAAGTCTTCCAAATTAATTAGTTAATATTTAACTCTATATTAAATTTAAATAACAACTAGAGATTACTATAGAATTAATAGAAAAAAATGAGCAAATATGACTATAAAAAGTTACCAATCAGAAAGAAATTTGCTTATTTGAAACCAAACCATCAGTCTGTTAACCATGTATTTGGTACTGTATTCTTTTATTTTTATAAATTTCTGCATTTTTTTATTTATCTGTGTATGTGTGTGAGTGGCATTTGCCACAGCTTATGTTTGGGGGTCAGTAGAAAACTCATGGGCGTTCATTCTCAATTTCTACCATTTGATTCTTGTGACTGAACTGAGGTCAACAAGCTTGGTGGCAAGCACTTTAAATGCTGAGCCATCTCACTGTCCCTCTTTTATATTTTTAGCTAAAATTTTTGAACACTTACTTTATTTCACATATTTTATTAATTATAATCTGGATCTGTGAAAGTCATTTTTACTATTGAAGATATTGAAAACAAAAATTACCTTTCAATGGTTTAAATGATACAATGAGGCAAATTAATCATTGTAAAAACCATATTAATTAGAATAATCAGGTTAAAATAAAACATTTAGAGATATAAGTGATTTTATGTACAGAATCTGTAAGTAGATTTTCATGTTAAACTCACAACTACAGTTGTACAAATTTGCTTTTCATCAGTATACACAGCATGAGAACCAAAACTTGTTTGAAAGCAACTTTATCAGAATTTCCAGGGCTCATGACACTTCAACATCACTTAACAAGTGCTGCCAAATCTGGAGAGCTCTCTAACGGTCCCTGCTCCAGGTGAAATCGTGTGGACCTCAGTGACAAATTTTAAATTGCTATAATTTTACATTCACTATCCAAAAATCTGAATAAGTTATCATTAATATAATAAAGAGAATTTTACAAGTAACATTATAATCTATAACTAATTTCATCTCTATTTGATAAAAATGCACTGCAACCCTTTCTCCTCCAGAAAGCGCCTTTGTTCTACTTTTCTATTAACTCTGGATGAAAAGTGAAGTTTCACTGAGAAGATTAGAAAACTACATTAATATTTAAAGGCAGCAGGATGTAAGGTGCTTATAGAATTTCGTAGAGATGTAAATAAATATAGAAAAATATACTTGTTATAAATACCTAAGGAAAAAATTCTAAAAATTTTACAAAAACAAAATATATGTAAGTGCAATGATCAATAAGTTTTTGCTTGAACATATAGCGATTCTTGGGGCTGGAGAGATGGCTCAGCGGTTAAGAACACTGGTTGCTCTTACAGAAGACCTGGGTTTGAGTCCCAGCACCCACATGGCAGCTGACAACTGTCTGCAATTCCAGTCCCGGGGGATCCGACAGCCTCTTCCGACCTCTGCGGGCATTGCACGACATGGGTGCACTTACCTACCTACATGCAGGCAATACATGCATACACATAAAATAAAAATTATAAAAAAATGTTTTTTTTAAGTTTTAAAAAAAGAAAATATAACGATTCTTTAAAAGCCATTCACTAAAAGAAAATATATGCATTTCTATGTCAAATGTGTTCTCGTTATATAATCTATAATTCATACTGAAAAATTACATGAAATGAGCTTACAGTTTTATAAGTCAAGTATATTGTAAAAACGATTTTAAAAATTTGAATAATTTAAGAATATACAATTTTAATGGTGGTATTTACTTAGAGGTTTTTCAGTTTATAATGGAAATATCTATGGCTCATTCACATAATATTAAATTATTTTAAATCGATCAATATTTTAGGTCATGACCCTTGGAATTAAGAAATTCTTGAAGACTGTCGAATATGATTCAGGAGAAAATGTGATTTGATTCTGGAGACAATTATGCATGTATGTATTTGGGAATTAGATTTTCTCAGGGTGAAATGTAATTAAAAACTAAGATATCAACTCATTACTGAATTATAGAAACTTTGATTTATAGTTTTTTATCTATTACACCATTTTTAAAACGTGAGATTGATTTACATCTTCCTGATTTTTAGGCATATTTTCCCTAACATCATCTAGTAAAAGAAAAAAAAGAAAAGAAAAGAAAAAACAGTCCGGAATAGCTAATAGAAGAGAAAACAGTGTTCAGAAGATTGCTCATGATTAACAAGAACAGCCATAGCTAGGTGAGTCTTGGTGAAGGGACAGAGGTGGCATGGATTCCATCTAACACTAAATGTGTTGCTGTGCAGGCAGGTCAGAAAAACAACACAAAACATGGGGCCATGGGGAAACAGGCTTACACATTTTACTCTGAAAATAGTTACATTATAAAAATTATGGCTTATTTCCCCAATAGAAGTCAATCTAAGCTTGCTTTTCAATGATAAATGTCTCCTGAAGACTTTTTGTCACCTTTGAAAAATCATTGTTCCTCAGTTAGTTAAATGTGTATTATATTCAATGGCTACACCATAAGTCATTTCTATAAAACTAATATGCCAGACTATATTACTCCTGCTGTTTAGGATGAAGCCTTAAGAACTTCACTCCAGCAATGTCTGTCTCTTAGTATTTAGCTGGTTTATGATGTTTGAAAGGCCATTTTTCACTGGCTTAGAACTGTAACATTAGAAATATGTTACTTGATATTGTTGATTTTCAGAAACTTATTTCAATAATGTAGATAACTTAGAGATGCTTTTAGTTGATGATTTAAAAGAATTAATTTCTGTATTAGTTACTTCTCTCATTGCTGTGACAAAATGCTGTCAAGAAGCAAACTTAAGAGAGAGGTTACTTTGGCTCAGTTTGAGGGTGAGGGTCTAGTCCATCATGACAAAGAATAATGACAGCAGGAGCTTGACGCACCTGGTCTCATTGTGTCTATAGTCAGAAAGTAATGGGTGCTAACACACAGTTTGCTCTGTCCCTTTGATTTAGTTCAGGACCCCACACCATAGAAAGGTGCTGCCCACAGCTGAAGAAAGTCTTCCCAACTCAACCTAATCTAGTTAATGCCGCATATGCAGGCCCAGAGGCTAACTTAACTACAGATAATTCCTCACAGGTGTGTACAGAGCCTAGTCTCCTAAAAGAATCTATATTGCTATGTAGCCTTTAGCTATACATATGGACTCAAGAAATTATATTGACCCTTTATATAGAGAGATTAGAAACGCATGTGCAAACATCTTAATGTCAATTGCATTAAAAATGAATTTTTCTGTATGAAACTGTGTATTTTAATAATGAAGTGGAGATCTTTTTTAAAGGTTAAAACCTCATTTAATTTTATGTATTATAGGGTTTACAATGAGTACAATATTGTATAACTGTAACAATTCAACTGTAATCCTAAATATTTACAGTCAATTTTGAAAAAGATGAATCGTAGCTCAGAAAATTGTTATTGAATATGTCAATGCTGTTTTATGAAATGCTTCTTCTAAGTATGTGATTATTAAATAGATAATTAACTGGAAAAATTAAAATAAAATAAAAGAACCTATATTCTGTCAATTGATAATATCAACCAACACAATTTCATACATACAGTGATGAATAAAAATTAAGAAGACATTTTTATGTTGTATGAATATTAATTCCCAAAAATGGGCCTAAGAACAGTTTACTTCCTTAAATTTATAGTTGAGGAACTGCAAATTATAAATTATAGGAAACAAAGACAGATCTAATATATAATAACATATATTGTGGAAAAGATGTTCAGGTACATCGGTAAATGCATAGAAAGCAATGTTTTCTAATTAATCAAAAATAAATATCTATCCTGTTTTCTTATTTTTTAAGTATAATCAAACTAGACTGTATTTAGCTTAACTTTTATCTTTAAACCATAATGTTCTTAGAAGTTTGCATTACATATGATTATTATTCAAATTATTTTATTTATTGTATAATTTTAAAATGTGTTTTTGTCTTGAAAAGTATATTTATTTCATGAATGTTGAATTCTATATCGTTCTTTTTCTATTAAGGTGTGAATATACAGCATATCTCATTTGGGATCTAACAATGAAGAAAAAATATACAATGTATTTTTTGTTCCTCTTGCCTTTTTATATGGTAAGCATAAATTCTGCAGCTTTATCTCCCTGTCTATGATTATTTGTGCTTCACTTACAATATATCTCTAACTGAGAAAATAAATAGCCATAAAATTAAAGCCCTTATTGGATGCATGAGTTTGCTTCATTTTTACATCCAATCAATGCAGAAATAATCCTCTTCCTTTTGGTATGTGCTTAGAATTTTATAACTAATGTAGATTGTTGGGGTCTGGAAAGGAGTTTGGAGTGTCCATGGATATAGCTATACAATACTCTAGAGAAAGTTGTAAAGTTTGAAAAAAACTTGGGGTGATTATCCGTAGTAGTATAGTTATACTTGGTACATAAAAATGTTTTAAAACACTTGTGGATTTAGAATTACATCTTTAACAGTCATGCACTAGTCCAGTAACTCTTTTCTTTCACCCGCAGCAACTGAGTGACATAGATTGATTGAAAGACAGTTCAGAAGCATGTACTGTGCTTTGCATTAATTTACTCATTCATTCGTTCCTTCCTTCATTCACATTAACAGATCTTGACGCTAAATATGGCAAGTGGATGTGTCCATATACATGTACATATTCATGTCCACCTCCATGTACATGTGTTTGAGATATGAAGGCAGAGGAAGAGAATAAAGATTGCCAAAACCCAGTTCTACAGGAGCTGCATTCCTCACAATTCCATGCATTAACCGTAGAATGTTTCTCTTCATGGTTTTCTCTTTATCAGATTAAAGCCTTAAACTTTGCTCTCTCATTATATTTATGAAGAACCCAGAGATAAAAATCTCATTTAATTCTGTGCCAGCAAAGAATTTTCCTATGGTGCTTCCAAGCAAACCCCCCAAAAATACTCAAACAAAGGAGCCCAGAAAAAGTACTGAAAACGTGAATGAGGGGGAAAAAAATAAGCAAGATTATATTTCTGTAAGCATTTGCATCTGCAAACATTCTCAAGTCTAGGGCAATCCAATTTCTGTACTTCTTAGATATTATCTTGGTAAACTGACTAGACTTTAAGAGACAGAACTCCTGTTTGCTCAGCTCACACCCTCCATCAACCATGCCAGGGAGCTACATGGGCCAACATCAGCTCCCTGCAGCCAATGCTGAAACAATTACCAATCTGATTAGTGTAATTTAAGGAACTGTGACCCTTTCCTTTGAATTCATTCATGGACATTGTATAAATATGAATCTTTATTTGAAAATGTAATAAAATTAATATTGACATAATTTATATAAACTTTTGAGAATAATTTTAAGTGTTTTTGCTATTGTCTTGGGGAGATGTAGAGTGCTTACCTAACTTGTATGAGACACTAAGTTCATCCCAAGCATTGCCAACAATAAAATGAGCAAATCTTATAGATATCATCTTGATGTTCTAAATCTCCATTGATTACCTGCACAATGCAACCGCTATATAAACACTAACTAGAAAATTTAAATTGATCAAAGAATGACACAAATAGTCTCAATGCCCATCAGGTGACATGACAACAACCAGTGAGGATATTCTTATTTTGACTTTATAAGTTTGGTGTTCTGTTAGAAAGCAGAAGATCATGGAGAACAAGAGTGGAAAGTACACTGCTTCTGGAAGAGAGTTCACAGAAATAATTTGAGAAATAGGTTGAAAGATTATTATCTAAGCTGTGTATTAGAAATCAGAGAAAGTGTTACATAATATGGAAAGCAGTAAAACCTAACAAGTGTTACTAGGTTAGAAAACCATGCATATTTGTAATTTGCTCAAACCCTTTTTCAATGTATATTCAATAAAATCTCTGCTATAAATGAACTTTCCATTATTTTACTATCAAAATAATGAGGTTAACTGACCAATTTTGAGCATTTTCCATGTGTTAGGTACACCACTCTCCTAACTGGCTTTTATTATTTATTTATTTACTTACTTACATTTTATGCGTATGATTGTTTAGCTTGCATGTATGTAAGTGTATGTAAGGACATGTACACAACGTCCGTGGAGGTCAGAAGTGGGTGTCAGATCCCCTGGAACTGCAGTTATGGATGGTTAGCTGCCATGTGGGTGCTGGATACTGAACTTAGGTCCTCTGCAAGAACAGCCATTGCTCTTAACCAGTGCATCAACTCTCTAATCTTGGATGTTATTTTATACTGCTTTATAATTAGTAGAAATACTAAGTAATCCAATTTAGAAGGATGAGTAGCTATCTTATCTACACTCGAAGAACAAGTAGACACACTTCAGAGTACTTGTTTAGACAGTGCTGTAGTCACTCACTACCACGGGATTCTGAGTCAGTGGTGCTTCCCACCACTGCCATTGGTGGCACCTTGAAGGCTTTTTGAAATCTGAGGTACCAAAGTTTAAACTATGGAAACTGGCAAGGATTACACATCATTACACCTCGGGGATTTTTCCTCAGGAGTATCCTTCAGCATTCAGCAGTCCCTCAGGACAGGCAACTTTAGACAGACATTTCCACCATTCTGATGCCATTGTTTTCTTACTCCCTTAGTGTTTTGTCATAGCAGAATCAGCAGAAGCCTATGACCAAACAGAGTTGGGAGTTACTAGAAATAAGATCATGACTGCTCAATATGAATGCTACCAAAAGATTATGCAAGATCCCATTCAACAAGCAGAAGGTAATCACAACTAATTCTAGATGAATTTAATACACGTTTAAAAGCAAACTGTCTTGGGGGGGTTAAAATCCATTAGTAAAATGAATTAGTTACTTGTTTTTCAGGTTTATATGTAATTGTTATTGTGCATTATGTATTCTGTCGTTTGTGTTAAGCCCTATTTTTAAACTGTCAGAGGAAAGATTTCAAACACTTTTAGAAAAAATATTTTATAATATATTATATTTGTATGTAAATGAAATACAAAAACACAACATTAATATTTGTACTGTAAAAGTGAATTTGCTATTAAAAATTAGAAAACACTTCTCTTCATACTTAACTACCTTTAAAATTAATTTAAGTGAACTTCAATTTATTAATGTTTAAAGAAGTATTTACATGCTATGACTGTATCAGTAGTTTTGTCATATCTGTTAGAAAAGTATGTTTTGAAATTTGGAAAGCAATGACAAATTATTTAGATCAGATCAATAGGATTGACCTAACTTCTCATTTTACTCCATTAAAATATAAGTATCAAATTCTAGTTTGTTTCTGTTGCTGTGATAGAACACTGACTACTTTTGGAAGAAAGGAATTATTTGGCTTACAGGTTACAGTCCATCATCAAGGGAAGCCGAGGCAGGAACTGAAGCAGACACACGGTGGAGCCCTGCTTACTGCCTCACTCTCTCTGGCCTGCTCAGCTACCTTTCTTATACAACCTTCCTAGGGATGGATTATCCACAGTGGACTTGGCCCTGCTACATAAATTAGTAATCAAGAAAATGTTCCACAGACGTGGTCACAGGCCAATCTAATTCTTCAGTTGAGGTCTTCTTCCTAGGTGTGTCAAATTGACAACTGAAGCTAGCTATGACATATCATTACTTTAAAACTACTGGATTAACAGATCATGTAGATATATGTAAAAGTAGGCTTAAAAAATATTGAGCAATAGGAAAGTCTTCCAAGGGTTTCATAATAAAATAAATTTATTTGTGAGAAAATTGTTCAGATCATTCCTTACTCTGTGTTCTTAGAGCTTTATAGCACAGTTTGCAAAAATTCTCTTGAAGAAGGGCAAATAACTATTTTAACTTTGTGTTTCTGAAATCCATTTTACCAAACATATTTTTGAATGGAATACCTACACATCTCTTACACAGATCCCATAAAACACAATTCAAAAAATAGACATTGTAATCCATTATTAATGGATTACTGTAATCCATTATCTGTGCTGAAGTTCACTGTACAGAGGCTTTTACAGCAGTAACTTGAATGTATTTAAGATGCTCTCTGAAACGATAATAGGAAAATTATCTTTGATCAGCCACAAAATGTATTTTTACCAGTAGTATATGATTGAAAACTACTTTAAAATTTATACAATCACAGGAAAGAAAACTGTGGTTGTTTCAGTCACTTTTTAAAATTTTGAAGTTACTTAGACTTTCAGGTCACTAGAATTATTGTGGCTTCTTTCTCTTCATGTTAAAGAAAACAATTAACATTTTTCCCCACTTGAAAAGGAGCCAGAATTTGGAGGAGGGGCCAACATAGTACTTTTCATGGTTTAAAAGTTGAAAGACAAATACTAGATTATTATTCATTTGCTTCAGAAAATGCCCAATAACAGTTCCCTAAAAATACAAATTCAAAAATAAACTCTCTCCAATTTCTTATTTTAACAAACGAAGTACAGGGACAGTAATTAATCATTACCTCATGGTTAGGGACAATTAGCAAAGACTGATTAACTGTAGAAATAATTGCCTTTGAGAAATAGAATAGAATTTAACATTTATAGGGAGTCATTTCTAAGTTTAATTTGGATATTATTAATAATCTTAATACTTACTGTAATGATTACTTGTGATGAAGTTAAGTAACTGTAGATTTTATATATCTTCATTTTCAGTAAACTTCTTTGCTTTGTGACAGTGAGAAATCTTCCTTAAGAGTTGATGTATTATTACTACATGGGAGTAGTAAGCATTATTTTTTATTTCCTCTTTAAGGCCTTTACTGTAACAGAACTTGGGATGGATGGCTCTGCTGGAATGATGTTGCAGCTGGAACAGAGTCTATGCAGTACTGCCCTGATTACTTTCAGGACTTTGATCCTTCAGGTAAACACTGGAATTCATTTACAGATCTCTTTGACATCTATTTAACAGACCCTAATGTTTATTAAATGCATTTTTCAATTTGTAACAAAAAAAGTTTAGCAGGTCTGCTGTAAATAACTGTCTTAATTTTAACTCTTGTGCTTCTGAAATCCATTTAACCATAATGGAAACCTTAGATTTATTAAATTGTTTCTTTCTTTGCTTCTATTTTTCCTTTTTAATTTTAAAGAGAAAGTTACAAAGATTTGTGACCAAGATGGAAACTGGTTTAGACATCCAGACAGTAACAGAACATGGACAAATTATACTCTGTGTAACAACAGCACTCATGAGAAAGTAAAGGTATGTTAATAACAGTGAATTGAAATTGATAGTCTTTTCACAGGTAGTTGTTCCATACACTATCAGAGAAATTTTAGTGTTCCACTCCACTGCAAAACCATTTCCTGATATAATTTGAGAAGAAAAATGCAGGAAAATTATCTGTGGAAAGAACTGTTATTAATTCTGTCATTACACTGGGGAAATGATTCTGTTAGGTAACAATGTAGTTACAAGTCAATGCCTCAGCATTAGGTTTTCATATTTCCCAAAGAAAACACACCTCTAACATGTCATAAAAGGGAAAACTTTCATTTCTTGTGGAATTCTAGAATTACCTCAGAAAGTGTTCTTAAGCAAACAGGATAAACTCAGCAGGGTTGAAGTTTCCATCTGCCCTCAACAGAGGGCTGTCATCCTGACTGGATGTTTAGGGCTCTCCCAGTCTTGTTCCCACTTTGAAAGCAGGAGTTAGAGCCAAAGTTCATAACAATTGCCACACTAGTAAACCTCAACTGAAAATGTTCTTATGTGTTTTCACCTGTGTGGGTATTATTGAAACTGTGACCACTGAGATGCCATTTGCTGTTTATGATCTTTATCTACCCTGTGGCCTTGTAGTCTCTGCCTCGGTTTCTCATGTGCAAAATGGGATAATGGAACATTTCCCTCACTGGCTTTCAGAAGATCAGCATAGTGTAATCATTCCATTAACTACAAGCTACCACTGTACTTGTCAATCAGGTAACCTCTGCCTTTTAAGCGAGGTAATTAAGTTATACAAAAACATCTATGACCTACATTTTAAAAGTAGAAAGAAAAATGCAAAACCAAGACAACCTTAAAACATTTGTACAAAGCAAAGCATCTATTAAGATTCCACATTAAGATTTTTCTGCATCTCAAATTTATGAAAGGAAAAAGAAACACATAATTGGAAAAGAAAGCCTTATTGGGCATTTAATTCTGAAAAAAAATCATCACATATCATATGATTTTAAATAAATGCTGTTTTTATGTATTGTATTACCTAGCTTAAAAATGAATTACTTCATAGTCAATATGTGATTTCTAATTTCCTAAATAAAATTACATGTGACATAACTTTCTGATAAATTACTTAATAAATTTTTGTAGATATTGCTCATTTAAAATATATTCAAGCAGTATTTGGTTAGCAAGCAAGTAATTATAAGTCTATTAGAACATGTGCTTTAAAAATAAATGTTATTCAGTTGGGATTGTCTTATATACATGCACATTTTAAGCACATAGCCGTATTAATTGTATTTTTTCGATCACAAAAATTGCAGACTGCGCTGAACTTGTTCTACCTGACGATAATTGGACATGGACTGTCTATTGCATCGCTGCTCATCTCACTCATCATATTTTTTTATTTCAAGTAAGTACATTAAAAGCATGCTTCAAATTTGGCAACTGTTTTTGATGAGTTGAGGTCACTTTTGGTTTACCCTTGTCTCATGTGCTGATGAAATATAGATCATATGATATTAAAAGGTGGAATATTTTGACCTTAGTTTATAAATACATAGAGAAGATATGAATAAACTTTCTTAATCCTAATTTTATAAAAATATTATCTCTATAAAAATAAAGTAGGCTAATGAGTTAAAATCATATAAATCTAACAGCATTTTGCTCTAGGACCTGTCAAATAGTATGTCTTCTTATTTCCATGTCCAAATTTTGGTAAATTTTAATATTAGTATACATATGGCTTATAGGTGCCATAATTTTGTGAGGATACCATAGTAATCATATTTAATATATATTATTGAAGATATAACCTAAATATATTGTACATACTTTTTTTGGTTGAAAAGTATCATGGCTAACTGGGCACAATGTCATACACCTTTAATCCCAGCACTCAAGAGACAGAGGCAGGTGGATCTCTGTGAAATAGAGGCCAGCCTGGTCTACATAGTGAGTTCTAGGCAAGGTAAGGTTACAGGAATATCTTTTCTTTAAAAAATATAGCTAATATTAGTTGCAGTTATGTCAATTTCATGTGTTGGTTTCTTTGAATAATAGATAATTTTCAAGAACTTGAAGTTGGAGTTCTGGAGTAGTGTCTGGCTCTTAGAGCTATTAGTTGTGTCATTTGATGAATCAACTCCTAGAGCTGAGTCAGGTTTGCAAATTAGACAACGTTATGACTGACTGATTGATTAATTGATTGATATTTGGTTTTTTGAGACATAGTTTTACTTTGAAGCTCTAATCAGCCTCAAATTCATGATCTTCCAGTCTCAGCCTCATGAGTGCTGGGATTACAGGTGTGTGTCACCATGCCTGGATTACATTTTAATGATGAGTATAAAGCTATAATTAACCTCTCTTCTTGTGATCTAAGTTGTAAGTCTTATGAATTAAAAGACAAGTCTTTTTTGGGAAAAGTAAGTTTTAAATATGCAATCTTAGGAAAAAATACAACTAATAAATACTAAAACACCAAATTGGGATTGCCACATATATATAACAATGCCACTACTGGAATGTATGCATGGACATAAAATCAGTATGCTAAAGAGACGTTCACACTCCACGTTCATTACAGCACTATTCACAAGAGCCAAAAATGGAAACAACGTGAATGTTCATCGATTGATGAGTTAATAAAGAAAATCAATATACATACAAAATAGAATAAAATTCAGTCATAATATATGGTATCTTGCCATTTATAACAATATGGGTAAAAATGGAGTGTATTACACTAATTACAGTAAGCCAGGCATAGAAAGACAAGTATCACACGATCTCCTGTATAGTCAGAATCTGAAAGGATTATTTTATAGATGTTGATTGTAGAACAGAGTTACCAGTGGCTAAGGAGGGAGGGTGTGATCAGTGGGTACTAAGTTATGGGGACTAATACGTTATTAATTTTCAAATAAGAAATCTTACAAATTCAGTTGAACTTCTGGCATGTAATAAAATCAATGCCTTGTGTTTTTTTTTGTTTCCATATTCATTTGTATTTGGTTTAACTTTATATAAGTTTATATAAAAACATTTATTAAGTTTTTATCATAACATTCAAGTTTTAAAAATTGTCATTTAAATGACTTACTAATAATATTCCACCTAATACATTTTGAAAATCTCTTAAATGAAACCTCTATTTTTAGCATTAATATTGCTTCTAGTTTTTTCTGTCAATAGAGAATCACTACAATGGGCATTTCCAGCCATAACTTTTCCAATATTTCACAATATATTTTAGTTGCTATTTATAAAATACTTTGCATTTTATATTGTTCAGTCTTCAAACCTCTTGGTCAAGAGTATATACCTTTTATCAGATGAAACATATCTCAAAGTCTTCTAAAATCAACATTTTCAGAACAAATTCATAGCATCTAATTATTCCAAATTTAAGAGTGACCCACTTTCACTGATGACATCACTAGAAACAGTGCAGTCACCAGAAATTTTATGATAATCTGCATTCTTTCTCCTTTTCTCCTTATAATCCTTTTCCTGTCCATCTGAAATCCAGTTTACACCATCTTTAATATAATCACTACCTATTTGGTCCTATGTAACTTTAACAGTTCTGTTTCCTTTATTCATCTGTAAAAGAATGCATCCAGAAAATATCTTTAAATATTTGGATAAAATATAGATCTCACTTTGTCCTTCTTTGCTTTAAATATTAGATATTTTATTTCACTGCATATAAACTTAAAGCCATTGTTGAATCCTGTTGATTTCCTTTCCCTCATCCCTAGCCTGGCTAAATGTATTTATCCAACTGAGCTATAGTCAACGATTTCCTCAGTGGAATTCCTTACTGAAACTGTAATTAATTTTACTGGACGTGGAGTAAAACGTTAATACCATATGGGAGACAATTGTCTCTTTAAATTGAAAAACATTACAGTTGGGACTTTTCAGATCCAATTATTTCTTTATGTTCTTTATTTAGTAAGCCAAAACATTCAAGGACATTACATTTCTGAAGGTGATAATAATAAAAATTTCATTGTATTTCAAAACCAATAGTAAAAAAGAAAACAGTGGTCTCATGGAATTCTAGGCCATATGTCCTTGCATATTTCGATTTAGCACTGATGTAAGCAAAGTACCCATCAAATGAAATGCAAAATTAGGAAAATTTCTTTGTGTTAAAGAATCTAAGAGATAATAGAAAAAATGCTCAGTGAACTCACAAGACAAGTGGGGCTGCCAAGGAAAACAATACTGCAAGCCAAACTGGGCAATAAAAGTACAGTTTTATGAATCTAATCAGATGGCTCGTTTCTTCAGTTCTCAATGGAAAATAAAACACTATGTCATAAGAAATGGGTTATTAGGAAGGTGGAGAAATTAAATAAAACAATACAGACTTTGATCATGGCATCCAAGTACAAAGAATATTTAGTCATAAAAGATTAAATACATAGTTCTCAATATATGACTTCTTGAATCAAATTGAATATAATTAAGAATAGAGTTTGTCTAATAGCAAAAAGAAAGAAATTGAAGGCTCATTTTTTTTTTAAGTCTTAAAGAATCTTAACAGAGAAACAGAATGTAGTGAATCTAGTTGATCAATAATCTTCATTGTCATTCAAGGTTTTCAGACAGAAATCATTCCAACCTTATCAAGACTGTTGAGGTGGTGTGTTGGGAGGTAGTTCAATCAGTAAAGTGCTTCCTACATAAGCTTGAGGACCTGAGTTTGGATCTCCAGCAGCCATGTGAAACATCAGTTGCTGGAGGAGGTACCTACAGTCCCAGCGCTGGGGAGATAAAAACAGGAGAATCCCAGGGTCTTACTGGCAAGCTGATCTACTTGAATTGGCAAGATCTTAGTTCAGTGAGAGACCCTGTCCTAAAAGTATGATGGATAGTGATTGAGGGAGACATCCAGCGCGACCCATGGCCTTTATATACATGTACATACAAATATTTACAAATGCACACACACACATGCGCACGCACACACACACACACTCACACACACAAACACACACACAAACACAATGAACACATTAATGTACAAAAATGAATATTGAATTCAGTTATTCCAATACCAGATTCATAGCATGACCTGAGAACCTGTAAGATTGTTTTGTAACTTGAATGAATGACTAATTAAATTAAAATATGTAAAATCAGACAAGATGGTTCTTGTGAAAGGTTTTTTTCAAGCTGAAACAAATTTATATAGATAACCTACCATTGATGAGAAAATGAAAGAAAATCTGACTTAGTATTTTGCTACATGTATTTGTGTTTTATTCAAAAAGCAAATACTATTCAAGCAATGTTCACAATTTAAAACTTTGATTAATGACTTAAAACCTCAGAACTAATTTATCTATGGAAAATGCTTTTTATAAGCTGAACTCGTGTATGTATGAGATAATGTCAAAGATATAATATATAAACACATACCACAATCCAAAAGGTGGGGTAGAAATTTCATGTTGTCTGAAATACTGTCTATGTGTTTTATAAATAGCCTTATTATTTAGTAAAAAAATTAAAAATTAAAAATCAATATGTAATAAAATAAGTACTTCTCATTTGCTGAAATTTTCACTCTTAAAAATAATGGCACAATGCTGCACAAATTAAGCCTTAGAAAGCAAACGAATGTCGAACAAACTTAATAAATTTGGTTCTTAGCCTCTACATAAAAATTTCCAAAAATATTGCAAATAATTACCTTGTTTGTACCTTAATTTATACTAAAATTACAATGCACAGTTCATTACACTGAACTCTTAAAAAGAAAGCATCTTTCAATGGTTGGCTAATGTGATAGACACACACTTCAATTTGAGCATAACTTAATTTTAACAATTAAGGCAGCACTGTGGCTAAAAAACATAGGATATATTTTAATCTTTCTGTTATCACCTATTAATAGCATGTACTTTGCCTGATCCTGCTTTTGAGAAACAACATATTTTTTTCTAAAAGTGGCCATTGTGTTAAAAACAACAACAACAACAAAAAAACCCACAAAAACTATGAGGCAAAGTAGACTCACCTAGTCCTGCCATTTAGGGACTGCTCAATAATGCTGCTATGAATTCCTCTTGGACCATAGACTAAATCCATTTATGTAGTTACCCAGCATTGCCCCTGTGTAGTGTAGAGTTGCAAAGACCTATAGGAACATAGAAAAATGAAAGGCTCATTCATGAGTCAGAAACTGGTGAAGTGATTATATCAATGAAGAAGATGGCCTTGCGATGAACAGAATTCTAACAGGCAGAATTGGCAAACCTGTAACCATAAAAGTATTGTCTGGGCTCATGCCTAATTTTACCTATTTTGGTCATGTTTTGTGTGTTTTGAAGTATTTTTTAAAGTGGATAGTTTGAATGGAAATATACAAATCTACAAATAGTTTTAATT